GTCCTGGTTTGTGTCTCCAACCGGGACTATAGGTTAGACCCCTTTAGTGCCGGTTCGTGGCACGAACCTTAGTACCGGTTTGTGCCACAAACCGGGACTAAAGGGGCTCGTGGGGCCCCGGCCTGACGCCAGCCTGCCACCACCCCTTTAGTACCGGTTCGTGGCACGAACCAGTACTAAAGGTTCAACACGAACCGGCACTAATGCATAGCCGTTCGAACCAGGACTAATGGTACCATTAGTACCGGGACTAATGTGTCTCACATAAGGTCCTTTTTCTACTAGTGCACCCTGTCATCTTCATCCTCGCCTGACAGCATGTCATGGTCACTGACCACAGCTAGGTGGGGCAGGTTTGTTAAACATGTCGATTATGATAGCCATAAACTTCTATTGGTACTATATATCACCAAAAATTATAATTCCGATGGTACTAAAATGTGAGAACAAACCTAACAACCCAACTTTTTACGTACTTCCATCTTATTTTTCACTTTGTCCTTTTGTATCGAGTTCTGACACTCAATCTTGATTAGGGGGTGCATGACAATGGAGAAAAGATTGCTGTGAAGTTGTTTCACAATAACATGCAAGCAATTGACGACAAACAATTCAAGAAAGAGTTTAATAACCTTATGATGCTCAACAATGAGAACATTATACGGTTAGTTGGCTACTGCTATGAAACAAAACATCAACACATGGAATTCGATGGAAGAATTATTTTTGGTGAAATGACATATAAAGCACTTTGTTTCGAGTATATGCACAAAGGAAGCCTTCAGAAGCATCTTTATGGTACGTATGAAGCTGCTCCCTTTCTATTATGTTATGTATCTAGCATGTGCAAAGACAGTTGTGTACATTTGAACCTTTTTTTTGTGAGACAGTGTACATTTGAACTTCCCTGGCGTGCTCTTACTTACTTAACTTTTACAGAGGAATCACATGGCCTTAATTGGGACAAACGTTACAACATCATTAAGGGGACATGTGAGGGCCTAAAATACCTCCACGAAGGATTCAAAGAGCCAATTTACCATTTGGACCTTAAACCGGAAAATATATTGTTAGATGAGTATATGATTCCAAAGCTTGCTGACTTTGGTTTGTCCAAACTTTTTGGTGAAGAACAAACTAGAGTCACACAATCTCGTCCAGGGACGATGTAAGTGAATGCATCCACACAGCAAATAAATCATGTTCATTTTTTTCTTAGTGTTTGCGAGGAATGATGAATCCCCTGTCTTGTGAACCATTTTTTTTAATGGAGATAACACGGGCCTGCCAAACTACATTTTTTACATATTCATTAATTCCGTTCTCTTATATTGTCATGCACAGTGGATACATGCCGCACGAATACTTATTTAATGGAATTGTCTCGAAGAAGGTAGACATATTCAGCTTGGGTGTTGTAATGATAAAGATTATTACAGGGCCTAAAGGACACTCCAGAAGTGCCGAAATGCCTTACCAAGAGTTTCTTGATCAAGTAAGAAACACTATCTCTTCACTTCATAAATAATATCAATGCTTATCTTAAAAAAAATATTACTCTATGTTGTACATATGCAAAGTTACAGTCTTGTGTTACACTTGGATTACACAGGTACAGGAAAACTGGAGGAATAGATTGCAGGCAACATCGAGTTCATCCCAGCCACTAGAAGCTTACTGTCAGCAAGTTAACATGTGCACTAAAATAGCGCTCAGCTGCATGGAGACTGATAGGGACAAAAGGCCCACTATATTGGATATCATAGACAAGCTGAATGAGACTGAAACTATGTTTGATGAGGTAATTTTTTTATTGTTGAAAGCAAATCATTCACACATTTATTCACAATTAAAGGCACACAATGAAAATTTGATCTGGTTGATCTGATTACAGCGTGGTGTATATAGCCTAGTTTTAATGGTAAGGATTTGGTGGTATGTCTTTGCCGACCAGGGTTCGAATCCTGTACAAAATGAATTCTAGTGTCTCGCAGCGGTCATGTAGAGCGAATTGTAGTATCCCATAGTCGTTTCTTCTTAATTGAGTCATTGGGCTCCTCCCCGCCGTTGGAATATTTTTTTCTAAACCTACTCAGTATTAGTCTAACAGGGTTACCATTGGGAATCCCAATTAGTTCTCTACCTTGTCATGGTGCTAATCCATTGCACACTGATAAAAAAAACTAATGTGGCAGGTTACTGAGTAGAGAGATGGTTTTGGTGTCCAATAATTTTACCAACAAAGTGTGAACAATATGTCATAAAAAGTATGCCATTGGATGCACATTTCAAGAAGCTTTTCGATAATAGATGACATACAACCCATACTTTGTTGACCAAATTGTAAGTCAAAGTTTGACATGATAAACGAAGTGGCATTGCATATAAAAACGAAGGGAGTATCTTTTTCATCGTGTGTGTGTATCCTTATCCATCATCCTATTTTCCCACTAAATGTCCACATAAGATCCTACAAC